TTTCATTGCAATTTGGTTTTTGCCTCTCTACTTGGTCACCTTTCCTAGGGTCTAAAGTTCTAATTCTGAGACAAAAAGTTTTATTTTATTAATCTTTGTGAATAGTTAACTAAGTCTTTGTTTAGATGGTAATCCTATATCCCTTAAAAATTAGTTTGCTTTTGAGAGAACCTACCCATAGAACAGGAAACAGAACACCTAGAAGGAAAAATTGAATTTCCATCTGGAGAAAAATAAGTGGCCACAGTTAAAAGCATTAAATTATTTAATGTGAGCACTCTGTTGGTTGATTTTATTGCATAGCTGCAAAACTCAATAAAACTGAAAAATAGACTCAATTTCCCTGAATAAGTAGATAATGAAGAAATCAATTTCCTAAAATAAGACTAGTCAGAAGTGACTTCCAGCCATATTAACAGAAGTCTATTTAAAATTTTATCTACTGATATGAACAAAGGTAGAACTATTTGTGCTCATTTTTATAAGATTTTGGGAGAAATAATTTAAAAATGTAAATACTTAAATGAATAATTCTTACTTGGCCCTTATATTGTATAATAAAACATGATATCATTAAAAATTTAAATCTAGTATTAAAGCCCAAATAGAGCACTATTTTTGATATATTTTGAGATACTTAATTTTCATTTTCATTTTTTTTTTTAGTTTTTAGCAATACTGAAGTTTAACTTCAGGGACTAATGCTAGTTAGGCAGGTGCTCTATCATTTGAGCTATGCCCCAGTGCTTTGCTTTCAGTTATTTTTTAAAATGAGGTGTCATGTTTTGATCCAAGGACAAACTTGGATCATGATCTTCCTACCTATGCCTTCCACATGGCTGGGATTTACAGGTGTGTATGATAACATTCAGCCTGCCATTACAAACTTTTACAATATTCTTTCTTTATATTCATAATTTCATCTGATATTATTGCAAGTATATAACTATTAAAAGTAATTAAACAATTTCTGAGTCTTTGTCAGCTGGTTCATTGTGTTTAACATACAGAATTAAAAAGACCATTGGGAATGACGATAAATCACAGCTGCAAGTGGTGCAAGATAGTAAACAGCGGCGGATGCACAGCATATGGTTATAGTCATAATAACTCTCAGTGTTGATGCTAGCTGACAGCACAGGATGAGTGTTCCTGAAGTAAAATCATATTGTGTGGATTAGTTACACTAATTTTTAAATGAATATTTATCAATAGATACCAGATTCAAGGATTTTAAAGTCTTACTAAAAGTGGGAAATCATCAACAATCCCAAAATACTGCTGAAAAACCCAGCATTTGTGTACCAGAAAAAGGCAAAATGGCAGTACAATTCAACACCTTACAGCCATTTAACATATGCTAATTTAAGTGATTAGTGCCGTGTGGCACTCTACATAAATTTCAGTATGTTTTTAATTTTCTATTTTCCTATGTTTAAAGAGAATGAAAGTTTCATTTTGGCATCTAAAATTGTTCACATTGAACAAGTTATAGAGTTTAAAAGAAAAAAGAAAAATAAATCCAAGTAAAATGACTAGAGAGCTTTTAAAAGATTAAACTGAAAAGATACAATTGTAGCCAAAGTATCAAGTTTCTATTCAACCCTCAATTTGATCAAGAGTTACAAAGCAGTTTAGAAAGACAGAAGACAGGGAAACAGAAGGAAAGTCCTTTGCATTTAAGAAGCAGCAATGCACTCTTACATGAAAGGAACAGCAGAAGTCCTAACAAGGCCCACATAAGGAAGAGCTCAGCCTCTGAGCTCATACCATTCCTACCCCGTTCTCACGATGGAGACGCACAGCACAGCAGCTTTTCTCCTTGAACCTGATGCTCTTTACTCCCAACTCTGTGACTCGTCTTTATCCCTCATATTTCAGATCCAATGACAATTTTTCCAACAATACCATCTTTGCTCTGTTTTGATCAAATCCCAATTTCTTTAAATGTTTACATTCACAAACTTATATAATGATAAAATAGTTATGTCTTCTAGACACTCTTTTAGACTCCTAGACTAATAAGCTATGTGGGGACAGTAATGTGATGGGAAATCACCAAAATCTTTTGTTTTTGGATAAACAATCATGCTTATTGTGCATATTCTTACTCAATATCCAATTATGGAAGTCCAACAGTGAATAAACTCCTTACTGAGGTTACAAAGGAGGTAAAGAGGAGGCAATACTGAGAGGAATGGACAAATGTGTGTGAGATCTTGCATGGGATTCAAGTAGAACAGCTGATCAGGTCAGGATACCAGATGAATTCACGGGTTAGACCGGTTTGTATGCCATGGTGATATAAACAAATCACAGCTTCCTGTGCAATTTATTTCCTTTTGAAGAAAGAATAAGTGTGGATATTACATTCACTCTTCATTAATCCTTTCCAGTTCAACATGCATAAAGACATAAGAAATATGAATGCTATAGATTAATTGTATTTTTCATAAAAACTTTAAAGTATTCAGAATTTCTAAAAACTCAATAATGATCACTAAGATCTACTTCTATTGAATGTACTTAGGAACCTACTTAAGGAGATATTTCATGTATGGCTAATAAGTTTTATATGTATGTGATTCTTTCCTTAGTCAAACTGATGATAAACACCATGTAGTTAAACAGGTACATAAAAGCACTGAATGGCTAATGCTAAACTAACATTTAACTTGGTAAGATAATAACAAGAGTAACACAATAATAACAAACTGATTTTCTGTTACTTTTAGCAGATGATTCAAAAAAGTTGATGTAGTGTCTCTCAATTATTAAAATGTGAAATACCAATAAGATAAATGCTGATATAATCAAAAGTGAAAAGAAATATGATAGTTATTAATTGTGTGGATGTTTGCAGAAACCGTGTCTTTTAAAAAAAAAACTACATTTGCTGTGCACAGGTGGTTCATGTCTGTAATTCTACAACTGCAACCTGAGGATCGCAGTTCAAAACCTGGAAAGGAAAGTGTGAAACTCTTATTTCCAATAAACTACTGAGAAAAAGCCAGAAGTGGTGCTGTGGTTTAGGTGGTAGAGTGCTACCCTTGCGCACTCAGAGACTCAGGGCCAGAGCCCAGACCATGAATTCAAGCCCCAGGACTGGAGAAAAAAAAAGCTACATAAAATATTTAGTCATGCTGGGCTCTGGTGTCTCACACTAACCTTATCTACTTAGGAGGCTGAGATATGAGGATCATGGTTTGAAGCCAGCTTGGGCAGAAGCCCGTGAGGCTCATGTCTCCAATTAACTACCCAAAAAGTCAGAAACAAGTTGTAGCTCAAGTGGTAGAGCTCTACATTTTGACAAAGAACCTCAGGGGTGGTGCTCAGACCCTGACTTAAAGCCTTAGGTCTAGCATGCATGCACACACATACACACAACACAGACACACACAGACACACACACACACACTTAGTCATGATATAGAGCTAACATTTCATCCTTGTACCATGCATATCAAAAACTTGTCTAAGGAATATAATGATTAGAAGATGTAAAGTTGTTATGAATGTATAGTTCATGTCAAACCACACATTATTTGAGAATAATAAAGTTTAATGAAATATCTTTGTAGTTTCCAAACAAAAAACTTACTAGAATATTAATATTTTTGCAAATCGGCTTGAAAGCAGTTGGCTTTTCATTTCTTTCTTCATTTAATCAGCTGTGATGTGTTTTCTTAAAATACATTTTTAGTGTAAAAATACTGTATAGATGGGTTACAGTTACAGGAGAAGGTAATGAGTGCATTTTCTATTAAGCATTGTTGCTTCCTCCTTTGTTTTTCCCCTACCATCCGTTTCCGCCCACCTCCACAACTTTCCTACCTCCCCCCCACCCCCACCTAAATTGTAAACTTCATTTTTCACCATAGTGACTTGTACATCTCATTGTTACAATGGGTCAACCTGTATCCCTATTTAAGCATTTTGTTTTTTCCCTTCCCCTCCCCCAAACAGAGAAGTGTATATACAAGAGGCAGAGCACTGACATCAAATACAGTGAGAACGGTTGGGGGGGGGGTGGTTATACCACGGGGAAGAAACATACAAAGCAACAAAAAGATCACATAGTGTATTAAAAATACGTTAGAAACAATAGCAAGAAAGAAAAAGACACTTGTGTCTCTATCTTGGGGTTCATTTCGCTTAACATCATCTTATCTGGTCATCTGTGTTGTTTAATGAATAGATATGAAGAAAACCTAGCCTCACACAGGTCTGAAACTAAAGAAAGGAGGATCACCTCTACAAATGGCTCTGAGATTCCCCAAGGGTCATCCTTCCACATTCTGAAAAATCACTGAAGTTTCATAATAAATTGGAACATGATTATCATTTAATAACTATTTGCTAAATTAACCAAAATCTTTGAGGAAAAATTTCCACAATTTATACACATATAGCCAAATGTACACATGATTTGTACATCCATTGCAAATTCAACTAATAATATTACTTATAAATGTTCACTGACTTGATGTAATGAAAAACACTTATCCTAACTTTTCAGCTCATTACACCTAAACTTGAATGCAGATTGATGAGAGGAAGTCTAAAAAAGTGAAGAACAGTAAAAATAAAACACGAAGTACCAAAATTTAATAGAAATAATATTTCAGCTGAAAAAAATACCAAGCATAACCAAATATAGTAGGAAATTTGAATGTTGCATAATTCCCTTTACACAGTAAATTAGATTGAAACACTTTACTGAACATAAGATGGGTTCTAATATTTTTAGTAAGTTATGTGTCATCTCTAATTAATCTGTGAGAATTATATGAAAAATATATTTGTTTATATTTTTAGCATTTCTGCTTTAAATAATTAACCAAATAGCAGAGAATGTACTGACTCAGTTTATAATATCCATTAGTCATATTTTTAATTCTTAAAAACATGGAACCTCAGAAAAAGTATAAACAACACTTTTATAATTAATAGATTTAAAAAACTCATCTCATTATTCAACAAATAATAAAATGCCTTACTTTTCCTTCTCTGGAAGTTGATGATCCTGAGGAATGATTTTAGGTTCTGTTCCAAGATTTTTTTCCATTCGTTGCCTCCTCTTCCTACTTGGTGCAATATCAGTGACATCAGGGTTTGAAATAATGGAGTCATCTTTACTTAATGTGGCTAAAATTTAAAAAAAAAAGTTAAGTATGTAATCCAATAATATTATGCACATAGCTTGTAGATAAACCTTCAACTTAACTGCTTTAGCATTTAACACAAATCGCTACAAGTAAATTATAGTAAAACTAATCTCTCAAACATTCATGCAGATTTAATGAAGTGAGTCAGTTGATGTGGTATAACACTTCATTGTGAACATAAAACATTATATATATTGTACACAAAATAGAATTACTTGATCAATCTTTGCCTATATCAGACAAAAGCCTTCTCTTACATATTCTTAGTATAGTTAAATTTTTAATGCTAGAATTGGATAAAAGTTTTAGTGGCATCCACAAAAATGTGTTGAAGGGAAAAAGATGCTGAAATGCTTTAGAAATGATCTAAATTAAATTAATGTTAACCAGTAATTATCTACAAGCATCTTAGTGAATCAGGTAATATCACAAACATTTTTTTGGTACTAGTTTTTGAACTAGCTAAGTGCTCTAAACCATATGAGATTTGCCCCCTAGCCTTTTTGTTAGTTTGTAAGGTTTTTCCCCTTTTCTTTTCTTCTATTTTTTATATACTGTTTCCCACTTTTTTTTTTTTTTTGGGTCCAGTCGTGGGGCCTGAACTCTGGGCCTGGGCATTGTCCCTCAGCTCTTCAGCTCAAGGCTAGCACTCTACCACTTGAGCCACAGTGCCACTTCTGGTTTTTTTCTTTTTTTCTTATGTGGTGCTGAGGAATTGAACCCAGGGCCTCATGCATGCAAGGCGAGCGCTCTACCACTGAGCCACCTTCCCAGTCCCTGTTTCCCACTTTTTAAAAATTATCTCTAAGTGGTTGTATAAAGGAGTTGCCATTTAACAAAGCAGTTGACAAATACGACATGTGTTGATCAATGTGTTGTTTTGAATTCTTACTACCTTTTTTTGAGGAGTCCAGATCCCTTTTCCACCTCCAATACAACTAGAATCATAGGCATGTGCCCCACAATCAATTTAATTTCACAGACTTTTAGGCAAAATTTGAAGAAAAAGAAAAGTAGGGAAATACTAAAAATGTATCCCATTTGGTTATTACTAAGTTGTAGCTCTGTTTGGGTTATGTGAGACAGAAGCAACAATAGAAACGTGTTAAATTGATATTCCTATATTCTTAATTTAAAACTTAGCTCCAAAAAGGTCTTCAGAACAGGTCTTCAGAACAGTCACTCTTATCTTTAACTTAGCATCAACAAGCCAGAAGTGGAGCTATGGTTGAAATGGTAGAGTACTAGCTTTGAGCAAAAATCTCAGGGACAGTGCCCAGGCCTTAAGTTCATGATCTGGGACCCACAAAAGAAGTGGGATGGGTATTTTGATATTAGGAAATATTACAATGATAACATTTTCTGTTTTTGAACTTCAGTGTATTTGATATTTTTTTCTAACATAGAAATATTTAAAAGTGCACAGGGGAAAGTGTTTATTCCAGTTAGAAAGATTTGGCAATATATAAACATTAAAATGAGGGCAAATGAAATTTAAAATAATGTATAATTTAATTTTTTTAAACAAATAGGGTCAGGTTTAGTGTATATGAGTTAAAAACTACATACCTTCAAAGATTAACACTCTGATGAAGTGTTGATTATAGCTAAAGAAATGTAAGACTCTGATGAAGTGTAGATTATAGGTAAAGAAAGGGGCTGGGGAGGTGGCTCAGTGGTAGAGTGCTTGCCTTGCATGCATGAGGTCCTGGGTTTGATTCCTCAGCACCACATAAGCAGAAAAAGTCAGAAGTGGCGCTGTGGCTCGAGTGGTAGAGTGAAGAGCTGACTACTGAGGGACAGCCCAGGCCCAGAGTTCAGGCCCCACGAAGAAAAAAAGAAAGAAAGAAATATAAGCACATTCCTTCCTATATGTTGAATATGTGTGTGTGTGTGTGTGTGTGTGTGTGTGTGTGTGTGTGTGTGTGTGTGTGTGTGCGCGCGCGCGCGTATGCATGCACACGTTTGCCACCAGGTACTACCTGACTCAGATTTTTAAGTTAATGGAATGGTTGGAATCAAATGCACTCAGAAATTCTCATTTCCTCCTGTTTTAGACAAAGTGTGATGCAAAGGATTAGCTGACTGATGATGCTGATTATGAATATGTTTGCTACTAGGATTTTCACTAGAGACCTAGGAGCCTCTCTAAAATTGTCATGAGGAAAAGGGGCAGCTCTATAAGATTAGTTACTCTTTAAATAGAATGTATTTTGTCTTGGTTTCTGTCTACACCATGGGAAACAAAGCTTCCTTTAGTTTTCAGGTACATGTAATAACTGATTCTATTATAACAGATTCTCTTTCTTTATACACTGCTGTCAAGGGAATTTTTATATCTAGATAGCTTTTGATAAATATCAAAACATTTGATCATCTCCTGTGACATTTCCATGCAAGTACGTAATGTATTACAATCAATTCCCACCTCTATCATTCAACTTACCCCTCTTTCCTAATACTGCCTTACTGTAACATTATTTCAAGTTTTCATTGTTCTACTTTTATAATTGCTGAAATGTGTTTTGACAAAATCCATCCTCTTCCAACCTCGTTAGTCCAAATCCCTGTCACTAGTACTCCCTAAACAGAGCCTATTTCTCTTTCCCTACTCCCTCAACTATTGATCAACGGTTTTCATTTAGGTTTATCATTCTGTTTTCATATATAGTTAGAGTGTATCACAAACACACTCTACTTTTCTTTTTCCAGTGTTCTTAGTGTTGTCTATTACATTTCTATTCTAATAGTGAATCCCTTGAAACAATGATTGTGAATCTACAAGTAAGTACAAGTGTGCCATTGAAACAGAAGGGATCTTTCTATAGTGATAGAAGTCAAATACAGGGACTTCCAAGATGACTACTCTATCTATAATTTTATAGACACTTGTCCCTCCAGATATGTGGATCCCATATCTGATTATAACTCATCTCAGATGAAAAATGTTCAAAAATTTGTGACAGTATTCACTTTTTTGTCATTATTCCCCAAACAATATGGAATGACAGCATTTATACTGGATTAAATATTCTAAAGGCAAAGTCGTGTATAAGTGATATAAAAACACAATACTCATAAAAGTGACTGGAACTACTCATCTGCTGATATTCCAATATAATTTTATAAATGTAACAATTCAAGTTTTCCCTTTTAAATCATGCATCTAATTAAAAATATATTAAATTTAACTGATCATATACACTTGTTTTAGATATGCAGACAACTGTGAATAGAGTTGAAAAAGAATAACTAATATTCAAAGAGTAACAAGGAAGGGATATGGCCCGGTTGGAGTCATATTCATGAGAGAGAAAAAAAATGCAGGCAATGAAACTAGAAAAGTACGGACAGTAGAAAAGAAATACAAGAAGTGAAGAAGACACAGACTTACATTATATAAACCTGTAAGCTTTCAAAGCTAGGTAGAAGAGTATATATTTACCCTTCTCTGGGGAGCATTCACCTTCCAGAATTCTCAGTTTTAATTATTATCATCAGTTTCTTTGTCATGACAATGTATCTTTCACCATTTCCAGTGAAATTTTTATTTAAAAAAGAAAACAAAACCAAAGGGGGTAAAAATACATTGCCAATTAACCTACGGCTGCTGAAATACTGACTGACAGTAGCTGTGGGATGAACTTCAAGTTTTCATTAGGTTCAGTGCATCTAGAAAATGGAGACTCATTCCACAAGCCCTGCTATTGTGAAAGGTGGCTCCACAAAAAGCCACACTTCTTCTCATCTGTCAGAAGAACTGCAGGATCTTGGCAGCAAAGAAAAGAAATGAGATGAATGTTGGCTTCCCTGGGCATTCTCAATGTCAAAATGAAATGACACTTGGCCAAATAGTCAAGAATTTGGATAAATCTCATGAGTTAAACTACCTGGTAAACTTCAGTTTCTTGTCAATAAATTCTTAAATCTTAATATTCTGTAAAACAACATTTCAAGGATATAATTTATTTCATGAGGTTAGCATTATGTCATATTTATAGACTTTTCTCTCTTCCATATGATGCATACCGAGTATAAAGAAAGAAGACAATATTATAAAGGAGGTTACCACCTCTTCTCCTTTCTATGTAACAGACTGTTAAATACTCCCTTTAAAGTTTTATACATACATACACAGGTAGATAAACACATAAGCATCCTGAAGCATATTATTCATCACAAAGAATATCACTCAGATTAAATTATATAACAAGGAAATTCCATCAAGTCCTTTGACCAGGAAAAAATAATATGTGCTCTTTATGTATGCCATAGCCAAGCAAAAACCATCAGTGGTTCCCCAATGCTCATATCATAAAATCCTAACATCTTATATCTATATTCAAATTCCCCCACAATGTGGCCTCACCTGCTTTGTTAACACATTTCCCATGTTTTCTACCACTCTCTCTAAGATATTCTAAGGTACCAGGGATGGCTACCTCTGCTTTCATTCCTAACTTTTCTGTTTTGAATATTCTCCATTGTTTTACTGTCACCTCAATGTTCTCTTCCAGTGTAGCCAGACCAAGTCACTTCAGTCCTCCTAGCATTCCTAAACCACAGCAACTTTCCTCCTTTTCTTTCGAATTTACAAATTAAATCACTCATTTTACATATACTATCTCCTACTGTTACTCTCTTTCTACATTTATCTTTCTTTCCCTGTTTAAGTATGAACACTGTACAGTGAGATTTTACTATTTACATTCTGTTGTATTCCTAACATAGTACTCAATAGTTTTAGACATGAAAAATGTGAAGGCTTGGAGCTCTTGTTTTAAAAAGTGTATTTTACTTATTTAATGAAAACATACTTTCTTATAGACCTTCAGATAAGATGTAGAAGAAACTGAAGTGTAAAGAGCTGAGTCCAGACAACTGGTTCTACACTTACCTTGGGCACGTTACAGTCTCAGAAGGCCCTTGGTTGAGGTATATACTAACCATGATTTCTACCCATGATTTCTAAGATGTAAA